ACTAGTCAAATTAATCAATATTTAGCACTAATTGCCAAAGAACTTTGATAATAAATTATTTGAATTTGTGGTGAACGTTTAGTGTTTCGAACGTACTTCTAAACGTCGGTGGTGACGTGTGGATGAAATGCCAGACATGTCATCTGCGCTTCCGCTGCGTTCAGGAATTTATTAAAATACTAAACGAATTTTAATATATTTATTTAGAAAAAAAAAATCAATATCATCAAGCTTGCGGGCCTGCCACCCCTGTGAACTTGTAGTATTGACAAACATAGCTGAAATAATAACTGTTTAATTGAATCTTTGTTTAAAATACTATGATTTACTTAACACGTATTGTTTATTCAGATGTTTTTGGTTGTTAACATTCTGGCTAAGATTTACCTTGGTCTTGGTATAAGAAAGACTAGATATGTATGAAACTTTTGTCCGATTTTATTTACTTCTTTACTTAAATTGCCATTTTGTAAACCATAGCAACCGATCATGAATTATTTGACCATGATTAATGATTTATAATTTCTGCTTGGCCCAAAGGTTGACTGGATGAAACTGTCATATGGTTTTGATGAATGATTGTTGTTAATCTTTTTCATGCAAATGACAGTGATTTGTATGATCGGACCATTATGGGTCCATTTCTGAACTTGTAGAGGTGGTTTGGAGGCAAAAAAATAAAAGTCCATATATTAATTTATCCGTAAAGGCCTATTTATTTATTTAGTGTCGTCAGTGCGCGCCGGGCGGCGTCTTGGCGGGCGACGCGGGCGGAGGCGCCGACCATTCCACGCCGTCGCCTTCGTACTGGGTGGAGGAAGAATTAATAAAGCTGTCAATTCTTCATAGGATGTGTCATTTAGTTTTTTCAGTCACATATTTCTTAGCTAGGTCACGGGCTAGGTAATCATTTGGTATCTGCCATCATGTCCATCATCATAAAGGACTCGTATAGTTCCAAAATACTGAACTGTCCTATCGATGACATTGACAGCGGGGCGCCACCGTCAATACCGAATCGCTGGTTCCGATTTTTGCCATGTTGGAAACCATAAAGTTGAACGATGGTAGCGCCCCCCTGTCATTGAGTTTGGCGGGACAGTTCAGCGTGGGTCATCTATAACAATAGAATGTCAGCGAAGGCACTAGGGCAGCAGAAGAATGTAACACGTCGGTCTGACAAAAGTACCAGGCTCGCAGAAGCGCGTAAGAGCGTCATTCCGTGTCTCAAGAGTTGGAAGTCTCTAACAAAAGTACCAGGAGCGCAAAGCTCCTGCAGAGTTTTTTCTACGCGCGGCAGAAACAAATGACTGTGATTTGTATGAACGGACCTTTTTGGATCCATTTCTGAACTTGTAGAGGTGGTTTGGAGGCAAAAAAATAAAAGTCCATATAATAATTTATCCGTAAAGGCCTATATTTATTTATTTAGTGTCGTCAGTGCGCGCCGGGCGGCGTCTTGGCGGGCGACGCGGGCGGAGGCGCCGACCATTCCACGCCGTCGCCCTCGTACTGGGTGTTCTCGAGCCGGGTGATCATCATTCTTCATAGGATTTTCATTTAGTTTTTTTAGACACACTCATGTTCCTTTTATGTAGTCTAGCTAATCTTATGTGTCTGCCATCATCATCATAAAGAACTCGTAACCATAAAAATGTCAGCGAAGGCAGAAGAATGTAACACATTGGTCTGACATAAGTACCAGGCTCGCAGAAGCGCGTAAGAGCGTCATTCCGTGTCTCAAGAGTTGGAAGTCTCTAACAAAAGTACCAGGAGCGCAAAGCTCCTGCAGAGTTTTTTCTACGCGCGGCAGAAACAAATGACTGTGTTTTCTATGATCGGACCTTTTTGGGTCCATTTCTAAAGTTATGAAGAGTGTGCCGGTATGCACAATACTAAATCTCTTCATATCTTATCTTGATCACGTTCACAGTGTCAGCACATTTATCACGTATAGTGCTGATGCTGTGACGTCATTTACCTTTAATCTATATCGTATAAATAGTCACGCAGTTCGTGTTAATAAACAGATTAATATCAGAGACTAACTACAACCCGTGTCTCATTCATACGGTCTCCCAACATGCCACAAATTGGTGACCCCGACGAACCTGACGATCCCGACGAAGAAGACGACCCTGACGAAGTTGCCACAAATTAGAAGAAGATAACCCCAAAGATGAAGCCAACGTAGCCTACAAAGCCGATGAAGATGACACAAATTGGTAACCCAGAAGAAGAATCCGACGTGAACGAAGTCGAAGAAGCAGACGAAGCCGACGTACGACGACGAAGATAAACGTACCAAGCCAACGTGATGTGAGACGTAACCTCCATCACCCACCACCATCTTCAGCATCAGCCTCCGCCAGCTTTCATCTGACATGGAATCAAATTGGCTACCCCGATTGAGCAGAGCAAATCCGTGACATCACTTCAACATCAATTATCGTCATCATGTCAACTCCGTGCAAATCGTGCAACACAACACCACAAGAAGTCGCTGCCAGTACCGCTGCCACATCCATATTCCCGAATATTGAAAGGACCAACCTCGTTTGTGTAGCTGGAATCAGTCTTGGAACTTCAAACGAATCAAATCGCTAATAAAATATTAGAGAATGCAAAAAATAATGAAGTCTCAGCAGTTCAACAGTCAACTACAACATCAGCAAAATTCAAGACCAAACAATGGAAAATGTGCTAACACAGCTATAACATGTGCAATTGAAATAACGATTGTGCCATGACCGTGAAAATTTGCGACGCAGCAGTTACAGGCCAAGGTCGCCTAGTCATGTCAGAGGATTTTGTTATTATAATATGTATCAACGTATAATACAGAAAAATGTGAAAAATCATGTGATGGGAAACTAACGAAACAAGGAAACTAAAAATCGCACAGCCAGCATGGCCTCTGTGCTGTCTACCCGTCTAACCACCTCATTGTTACCGACTGAAAAAGTGGTATGAGGTTTTTAATCGTTACGGGAGCAACATATGATGTGATAAGCAACAATGCCAAATGAGCAATATGTTATAATATACCACGAATGGTTCAAAGATAAACATTTACGGTGAGAAAACGCTGACTCTTAACTTGGGAATTCAATCATTTAGAAAAATGTGAGTCCCTCCAGAGCGAATTTCTTAGGTTATCCGATAACGAGCCAAGGAATCGCCCAACAGAGCAGAAATAGAAAGCAATCGATGAATTTTGAAACACAGTTAAGGAATTGAGAAATATACGCAGCCGCGTATCGAAGTTGAATACTTTGAATATTTCAAGAATGATAATTCGCCTATCCTTTGGTCTTCAGAAGCCGATAACGCTTATGAAATGTGCAAGGACACAAGGCATGAACGCTGTGACTACAGCGCACCCATCGCGTAACGCCGAGCTTGCGCGAGGGCAACCTACGACTGTGAAAACGCCAGATAAGGAAGAAGCCAGTGGTTATGTTTTGTTATAATAATCTAATTTTTATAAAAGTTTCCCCATTTTTCACCACATGATTTGTATAACGTAGATAGTTATTGTAATTTGTAATATGTAATTAGCACATTATTTTATTTCTTGTATGTAAGTATGTAGAGATTGAACATTGAACCTGTATTAACGTAGATAATTTATGTGTTATTGTAATTAGCGCATTATTTTATTTTTTCTTATTTAAAGGGGGGGAGTACTGTGCCGGTATGCACAATACTAAATCTCTTCATATCTTATCTTGATCACGTTCACAGTGTCAGCACATTTATCACGTATAGTGCTGATGCTGTGACGTCATTTACCTTTAATCTATATCGTATAAATAGTCACGCAGTTCGTGTTAATAAACAGATTAATATCAGAGACTAACTACAACCCGTGTCTCATTCATACGGTCTCCCAACATGGCACAAAGAGGGCAGAAAAATAAAAGTCCATATAATAATTTATCCGTAAAGGCCTATATTTATTTATTTAGTGTCGTCAGTGCGCGCCGGGCGGCGTCTTGGCGGGCGACGCGGGCGGAGGCGCCGACCATTCCACGCCGTCGCCCTCGTACTGGGTGTTCTCGAGCCGGGTGATGATCATTCTTCATAGGATTTTCATTTCGTTTTTTTAGATACAGTCATATTCCTTTTATGTATTTTAGTCAAGGTAATCATTTGGTGTCTGCCATCATGTCCATCGTCATAAATTAGACACGCAAAAAATTAGAAATATCAGCGGAGGCACTGGGTAGCACAGCAGAAGAATGAGAAAATAGGTCTGACAAAAGTACCAGGCTCGCAGAAGCGCGTAAGAGCGCTATTACGTTACTTTGAGGCCACAAAGGTAACAGGAGCGCAGAGCTCCTGCAGAGTTCTGTCCACGCGCGGCAGAAACAAATGACAGTGTTTTCTACATATAAACGGACCATTTTGAGTCCATCTACAGTAGTCTCCCTTCTCAGTGTCACAGTTAGAGGTATTTTTGAGGCAATAAAATAAAAGTCCATATAATAATTTATCCGTAAAGGCCTATATTTATTTATTTAGTGTCGTCAGTGCGCGCCGGGCGGCGTCTTGGCGGGCGACGCGGGCGGAGGCGCCGACCATTCCACGCCGTCGCCCTCGTACTGGGTGTTCTCGAGCCGGGTGATCATCATTCTTCATAGGATTTTCATTTAGTTCTTTTAGACACAGCCATGTTCTTTTTATGTAGTTTAAGTTTAAGTAAATCTTTTTAGTCTGTCATCATGTCCATCATCATAAATTAGACACATTGTAAAAAACTAGAAATACAGCAGAAGAATGACAAATAGGTCTGACAAAAGTACCAGGCTCGCAGAAGCGCCTATGAGCGCTATTACGTTGCTTGAGGCCCCAAAAGTACCAGGAGCGCAGAGCTCCTGCAGAGTTTTGTCCACGCGCGGCAGAAACAAATGACAGTGTTTTCTATGAACGGACCTTTTTTGGTCCATTTCTGAACTTGTAGAGGTGGTTTGGAGGCAAAAAAATAAAAGTCCATATAATAATTTATCCGTAAAGGCCTATATTTATTTATTTAGTGTCGTCAGTGCGCGCCGGGCGGCGTCTTGGCGGGCGACGCGGGCGGAGGCGCCGACCATTCCACGCCGTCGCCCTCGTACTGGGTGTTCTCGAGCCGGGTGATGAGCCGTTCGTCCTCGTCGCCGAACTCACCGCCCATTAGGGAAGGTTCGCCAACCACCATCACGTCCTGGAACAAACAAGGTTTGATTTATTTTTACTCTTAAGGACACAAGGTAAGCCACTGACTGTTGGTGAAAATAAATAAAATCTAGACACGCCGCAGAGGGTCAAGCAAAGGAACTGGCTAGCCAGCGCGCGCCGAGTGTTAATAATTACGACTTTTCTAGCTGGGACAGAAACTAGTGGCGCCCTCTCTGTCGTTTGAGATTAATGATTGCGCTCACCAGTTGGCGCCACTGGTAAGTAAAGGCATGCCGTAAAAGGTCTTCTTACTTGCTTGTGGTACCACAGGTGGTACTAGCAACACGGGCTTCAAACTAATTTAATATTGTACAGAAACAAGTAGAGACATTAAACAAACCGAGTCGAGGATAAATTGAGCGGATTTTCCTATTTCTTAGTTTAGTTTTTCTGTGGATAACCATAGCATAATAACATAATAAGGCTGGGGACAGTGATGCCAACTTGTGAGCGCTAGAGCGAAGAACTAGTATCGCATTTCCAATCACCATTATCGCCAAGTGATGAAATTATCTTTATTGACCGAAGAATGAAGCGTTTGTAGACTAGTTTTTGTATCAAACATTTTACAATATCATAATTTTCGCGTCAACTGAATCTATCACCGCAACAGTGGCGGCGGAACCTGTAATGGTTGGCAACTCTGCGGCGGCCATATTTAATCTTATTGGAGAAAAAGCGAAGGACAGACGTTGTTGTACAAGTTGTGAAGTAATTAAGAAGAATAAAACCCCAAGTGTTAATAATAACATCAGCATTTTATTTAAACATAAAACCTACTTATAATACATGGCGCAGCCGGTAGGATACGAACCTACGCTACGCTCCCATAGGGAATCTAATTTCGAATCACGCTTTTTCTCCAATAAGATTAAATATGGCCGCCGCAGTGTTGCCAACCATTACAGAACCTATAAGTGGTTTATTTGTTGCCGTCACTGTACACACTGTAAAACCCTGGTTTTCCTAAATAAATAAATACCTGTGAGGCGAGGCTAAAGTTGGGCCCGGGCGAGCGCTTCTTGGCGGGCGCGGGCGGCGCGGCGTTGGCGCCGGCGCTGCCTTTGCGCTTGCGTCGCTTGCTCGCCGGGCGTTGCGATTCTGTGGGGGCAACAGTACAAATAAGTATATGCTTAAAATAAATCTATTATGCCCGTTTTCACCATCAATCCCTAATTTTTAAGTGACCCCTATCACCACAAAATTCCTGTTAGGGCTATATTTCACTGGGAGACCATGGCGGCGCAACCAGTCGCCGGCTACCAACAAAATGTATACAGCTCTATAGAGAGTTACTCACCTGGTGTCCGTTTGGTTGCGCAAAGCTGTACATTTTGTTGGTAGCCGGCGACTGGTTGCGCCACCATGGTGTCCCGGTGAAATATAGCCCTTAATTGTTACCATAGGGGTCACTTAAAAATTAGGGATTGATGGTGAAAACGGGCATTAATCTAAGTATTTAAAACTCAAAGGTGACTGATTGACTGACATAGTGATCTATCAACGCACAGCCCAAACCACTGGTCGGATCGGGCTGAAATTTGGCATGCAGGTAGATGTTATGACGTAGGCATCCGGTAAGAAAGGATTTTACGAAACTCCTCCCCTAAGGAGGTAAAACAGGATCCACGCGTACGAAGTCGCGGGCGGCCGCTAGTAATATTATAAAGCTGAGAAGTTTGTTTAGTTGAAAGTGATAATCTCGGGAACTACTGGTCCGATTTTTTTATAGGACCCACAGCACCGGGAGAGTTGCAGGTGTAATGTTACGCTTTCTTAATGAAAGTTTATAAGGTCAATTTGAAAAATTATTTTTGTTTGATAAGCCCACACTTACATAATATTATCATGGTGCTATTGCGATCAAATATTTGCCATGTTCTGCATGAAAAATATCGAGGTAGCCTACATCATCACATCACGCTACGATCAATAGCAGCAGAATTTTCGACACAGATTATCAGTACATCTAGCTTTCGACTTCGAATCGTTTGCGTGTTCGAATCGCCATTAAAAGATTTAATATGAAAACTTAAACATCGCCCCTGTGAATATGACGTAAAGTGAATTTAGTATGAGAAATGGTAGCACGAAACTAATTTTGACAATCGAGATCGTCACATTAATGTTGAATTCGAAGGTTGGGTATTGAATTTTGTCGAATACGCAAACGATTCGAAGACGAAAGTTTTTCGTACTAGAGGTACAGCAGATGCCCGGGTGTGGGTGCGGGTTTTACATCTATTCAGTTATTGAGTTTAAAAAATAATAAATAGAACTTCTTCTCTCTGAAAATCAGTAAACAAACGCTCAGCTGACGCGATATAAAAAGTTCCTCTAGCATGAACAATTATTTTCGTCTTCGAATCGTTTGCGTATTCGACAAAATTCGAAACTCAACCTTCGAATTAAACGATAATGTGACAATTTTGACTCTCAAAATAAGTTTCGTGCAAACATTTCTCATACTAAGTTCACTTTACGACAAGTTCACACGGGCGCTGTTGTAGTTTTCGTACTAAATCTTTTGATGGCGATTCGAACACGCAAACGATTCGAAGTCGAAAGCTAGAGGTACTGATAATCACACCATGATATAATATTATGTAAGTGTGGGTTTATCAAACAAAAATATTTTTTCTAATTGACCTTATAAACGTGTAACTCTCACACGGGCGCTGTTGTAGTTTTCGTACTAAATCTTTTGATGGCGATTCGAATACGCAAACGATTCGAACTCGAAAGTTTTTCGTGCTAGAGAACATATTATGGTAACAGACACAAGGTCTCAAGTCGCAACTCACCAGGGGGCGCCACCATCCGCTGCCACTTCTGGAACAGCGTGGTCTTGAGGCAGTCTCGCGGGGACAGCGCGTACGCCTTGTGTCGAGACATCAGCTCCTGCATCGGTTCTAGTATCACGCATAACTGGGGACAAACAGACAGCTAAATTATAGAAGCATTTTTTACATAAAGAAGCACCTAAATATTTCAATTTTAGGTAATGCCGTTTGGTGGAATTCTATAGGAGGACTAACACAACTTGATACTTTATAGTGGTCACGTATTCAAAATACGTCACTGATACTGTACAGCTTAAAGTCTGAAAACCTTAGGATACATTAATTATCATTAAAAACTGGCTATAAGAAGTAGCCTTAAATACTGAATATGAAGTAAAATGTCTTTTTTATTTTGTTTGACGAAGTTTTGGTACTAACAACGTTAAAGTAATTTAGGTAGCAGAAGGGGCTCCTTCTTTGCCTGCGCGGCCTGGTGCAAATGCAATAGTCCTATAGATGACCCACGCTGAACTGTCCCACCAAACTCAATGACAGGGGGGCGCTACCATCGTTCAACTATATGGTTTCCAACATGGCAAAAATCGGAACCAGCGATCCGGTATTGACGGTGGCGCCCCGCTGTCAATGTCATGGATAGGACAGTTCAGTATTTTGGAACTATACCGCTCTTACCTTCTACCAGTGGCGCCAACTAGTGACCTCATAAAGGTAGACCAACTGATCAATAATATGCAAAAGATAGCAGCAGTGAGCGTCCTGTGGCTGAAACGAAAGTACCAGGCGCGCAGAACTCACCCGCAAGTAGTTCAGTGTGGAGTTGGTGATCCCTTGCCGCGTGATGTTCTTGGCCAGCTGGTGACAGTGGCGCCAACTGATGACCTTATAAAGGTAGCAGGAAAGGCTGAAATGAAGAATCAAAGTACCAGGCGCGCATAACTCACCCGCAAGTAGTTCAGTGTGGAGTTGGTGATCCCTTGCCGCGTGATGTTCTTGGCCAGCTGGTCCAGCGCCGCGTGGTCGGGCGGATGCACGGCCTGGCTCAATTGTCTTCCTACTAGTTGGCGCCACTAGGTGACAACTGACAGTGAACTTGTTCTACTGTGGCGCCACTAGGTGACAGTGACAGTAACCTTCTCTACAGTGGAGCCATGATGACCTCATAAAGGTAGCAGGAAAGGCTGAAACGATGAACCAAAGTACCAGGCGCGCATAACTCACCCGCAAGAAGAGACAAGATTCTGGAGTGGAGTAGGACGTCCACCCACAAGGTGGACCGACGATCTCATAGAGGTAGAAGGAAGGTGCTGGATGCAGGACGCCACCCAGCCGACATGGAAATCAATGGGGGAAGCCTATATTCGGCAATGGACGCCCTTTGTCTGAAATAAAGTACCAGGCGCGCATAACTCACCCGCAAGTAGTTCAGTGTGGAGTTGGTGATCCCTTGCCGCGTGATGTTCTTGGCCAGTTGATCCAGGGCCGCGTGGTCGGGCGGGTGCACGGCCTGGCTCAAATGTCCTCCTACTAGTTGGCGCCACTACCACTAGCAAGTGACAGTGACCTCATAAAGGTACCAGGAAGGCGTTGGATGCAGGTCGCTTCTAACTGATCAATAATATGGATTCTTAACAGCAGTGGGCGTCCTGTGGCTGAAATTAAAGTACCAGGCGCGCATACTCATCCGCAAGTAATTCAATGTGGAGTTGGTGATGCCTTGCCGCGTGTTCTTGGCCAGCTGATCCAGCGCCGCGTGGTCGGGCGGGCGCACGGCCTGACTCAAATGTCATCCTACTACTTGGTGACAGTGACAGTGACCTTGCTCTACAGTGGCACCATGATAACCTCATAAAGGTAGCAGGAAGGCGCTGGATACAAGTCGCTACCAACTGCTCAATATGGAAAGCATAGTGGACGTCCTGTGGCTGAAATGAAAGTACCAGGCGCGCATAACTCACCCGCAAGTAGTTCAGTGTGGAGTTGGTGATCCCTTGCCGCGTGATATTCTTGGCCAGTTGATCCAAGGCCGCGTGGTCGGGCGGGTGCACGGCCTGGCGCGGGATGAGCTCCCTGTGCGCTCGCACCGCCATGTGCCACGACTTGATCCTCATTAGATCGTCGAATGTGAACTCCAGGATTAACCGGCCTTCTGTGCATACCTGGAACGAGGTGAGGTATAGGTTAAATCATTATCAACACTTGACCACTTGACCACAAGGACTCTGATGTCCAAGGCGCTTTAAACATTTTTTTAATGCATGACAAGGCAGGTATTTAATTTTGACCGCAATCGCACCTGGTGTTAAGTAAGATGCAGTCTAGGATGGTAAAAAGGCCCGGATTGTAATACATTTGAGTGAACCATACCTTAAAAACCTAGCAGCTTTAACAGTGGCGCCAACTGGGAAACGCAAAAACGATAGGGGTTTACCGTAGTCACCCAGTTGACGCTTACGTCTAATCACTTGCCAGCGATGCCTAATGATTACTAGTGTATCTTAAATACAGTAGCCATTATTGGTGGTATCAACTGTCTCAAGGGACCGCGCTCGTTTTGCGAAGAAGATATTACTTTTGGTCAACGAAAGCAGCCCCGCGCAATACCATTTTTTTGGTGTTAAGTCACAGAAGAGGACCGGATTAGGGAAAATTAGGGAGCAAAGTATAGCGCAAAGGGAAAAGAGCCTCGAGCAGTACCTATGCGCTCTAAAAAACATCGGTTCGTACGCTGTGAAGCACGTAGAGCCATGGACAAGTTAGGTGGAATTGCCCAAAAGGACCAAAGGGGGACTAAAAGACAATTTAGACTATTCGATCAAATAGGTACTAGCTAAGGCATGCCTCTACACTCTACAAAGACAAACTTTATTCGTGACATTCTTGTAAAAAGCTAGGTTTATTGGTAACCGTTTTGGATGTGGTTTTTTGAAAAAGGTAAGCCAACTTACTTTAGTGAACATGGGCTTCCCGTGATGGATGACCATGGTACTGTAGCTCATAGACAGGTGAACCGATAGAAATGATATTATGTATTTCAGCCATTTCAAGGTCAACAGTTCATAGCTCGTAAACGGGTGAACTTATTAGGATGCGGTTAGTTTAAGTTACTTAAAGCAACGATGTACAGTGCAAAGCACGACTGGTCATTGTAGAAATCCTTGGGGATCCTCTGTCCAGCAGTGGACGTCATTTGGCTGAACNGAAGCAACAAACTTACTTTAGTGAACATGGGCTTCCCGTGATGGGTGACCATGGTACAGTGGTCGCAGTCCAGCGTGATGCTGGTGTTGTGGAAGGATTCCTTCGGCTGCCGCATCGTGTAGTACAGTTCCGAGACGCCGCCCTCGTATATACTGCGGAAGTAGCGCGGTATGAGCGTCCTTCCTATCGCTGGAAGATGAGAAAAGTTCCAATTAGTTACAACTTACAAGTAAAGGACGAAGCTTGGAGTTTCCCTGCGTGATCGAATCAGAAATGAGGAGATCCGCAGGAGAACCAAAGTGACCGACATAGCTCGCAGAATTGCTAAATCAAGTGGCAGTCGGCGGGGCACATAGCTCGTAGAGACGATGGCTGTTGGGGCAGAAAAGTTCTCGAGTGGCGACCACGGGCTGGAGGACGTAGCGTGGCGTAACTAGGTGGAGCGACGATCTGGTAAAGGTCGCNAAGGTCGCGAGTCCAGGCTCTTGGACCGCAGGACCGTGCATTGTGGGAAACCTTGGAGGAGGCCTTTGTCCAGCAGTGGACATCATTTGGCTGAAACAACAAAGGACGAAGACTGGCCAGTGTGGGGAGTTATTCAAATTCAAATAATATTTTATTCAGTACATAGGCCCTTTCCAGGGCACTTATACACGTCCCAAATATTAACTTATCAAAAAATAAGGGACACGTATTTTTGACTTATCCAAAATAATGAAAATTTAAAGAAATAAAGCGAAAAAGAAGAGACCCGTGACGTCAAGGTGTGCTTAAAAGCGTAGTACTTTGTGACGTCGCGCGGAACTTCAACCACAGAATAAATAATAGTAGTATCTACCCTTCAACTCATCATAACTTCGTAATTAGATACTTGTTTGATTGACAAATAAAAAAATTCGAGTCAAATATTTTTTGATAATATAAATGACAGACTTAAAGGTTTTTTTTTTTGGAATCTAGCCTATTGGACAAGCTATTCAAAATAAATTATGTCAACTTACTGTATCTTTTAGGGCCATCTTCTAAACAAAATGTGAGCGTGAGTGTCGCGTCGTCTTCAAAAAACTCCGTCGCGAACGCGTCCCACCATAAATTATCTGAGTCCTGAAATCAATTAAAAATATTTTTATTAATACAAATCATGGCCAATATCCATTTTTTATAATAAGTTTGCGATCACTCTAGTAGCAATGAGGAAGAGCCATCTTAGGTAAGTACACTAAAAACTTAATTTATTTTTATGGCTGATTTACACTGCCCGGAAATTAGCCAAGTCAAGTAAAAAAAACAGTGGAGTGGGGATGAAATTCATTCATTTTTCACTCACTAGGGTGGCGCCACTATCGAGTAAGGTCGTTACTGGTAAATGCAGTACCTCTAACACGAAAAACTTTCGTCTTCGAAAATTTATAACGAAAACTAAAACAGCGCCCTTGTGAATGTGTCGTAAAGTGAACTTAGTAAGAGATATTATTGTTTTAAACTTTCATGGTCACTAACAAAATTATTAATATTAACAAAAACAATAATTTAGTATGAGATAATGAATAGTTGCACGAAACTTATTTTGACAATCAAAGTTGTCACGTTATCGTTTAATTCGAAGATTGAGTATCGAATTTTGTTGAATACGCAAACGATTCGAAGACGAAAGTTGTTCATGCTAGAGGTACAGTAACTATTTAGTGACATACGGTAGCCCTCATCAATAACATGATTCACAAAGACACAGGGAATCAATCAATCAATTAATCAAATCAATTAATTGTAAAAATATAGGTGAACATGTGGAATGAGTAGAGCTCCGTTTGGCCTATGAGTGGCGTACAAATTAGTCTTATAATATAAAGATAGAAGTAATCATGGTCAGTAATTAATTTAATTTTGTCTACTACAGGCTCCAGTCTAAAAATGCGCTAGTGGCGCCTCTATCGGCAATAAGTGACAAGTATTTAACGTAGCCCAGTTACCCAGTAGCGGTAAGATTCAGGGGCGTACTTAGCTACCGCCGTATCTCCGTATCAATGATACGGGGCCCCGGAATACAGGGGCCCCAGTGCCAGACTTCAAACCTGAAGTTCTATAATTTTGTAATGATCTTTTTTGGTTGAAAAAGGGGCCCCCAACAACTTTGAATGTTCATACATAAAAACACCGGTTATCGTTATAGTTACGGTTAAAGTGAGGTGTTGCAAATCAGCCTAAAGCCGAGTTACACCAACTTATTTTAACCGTAACAATAACCGGTGCTTTTGGTGTGGAGTTTGACAGATTTTTGACGTTTGTCGTTAAAGAAAGATGGCGCAACTCAGCCTAAGAGTAGAAGCAGTAGAAGTATTATAACTGGTACAAACCTCTGTCCTCTGTTGTAACCGCTTATTGAGTTCATAAACTCTGTAGTCTGGCTGGCCGAAATATGGCGCGTGTCGTCTGGAAGAAAGGAAAGAAAATACGTGAATAAAATGCAAAATACTATTGAATCGAAATTAAAAACAAAATTATAGAACATTTCATAGGCTTAGATAACACTGTTGTGTTAATAATTGTAAAAAAAATAGTAAACATTAATAAACATAATATTATAAAAGGTAGGTAATCGAACTTGGAACTTTTTGCATAGAAACGTACAATACTGCGTCATAAAGAAGCTATGAGGTAACTTAAGTAGTAAGTACCTAATCTACTATGATGTAGAATGAGGATCAGTACTGTTGTAGAAAATTCAATAAAACTANAAAAGTACTAGGCACGCATAACTCACTCGCAAGTAGTTCAGTGTGGAGTTAGTGATCCCTTGCCGCGTGATGTTCTTGGCCAGCTGGTCCAGCGCCGCGTGGTCGGGCGGGTGCACGGCCTGACTCAATTGTCCTCCGCTAGTTGGCGCTACTGTTTTCGCCACTACCACTACCAAGTGACAGTGACCTCATAAAGGTACCAGGAAGGCGTTGGATGCAGGTCACTACCAACTGCTCAATATGGAAATCACAGTGGACGTCCTGTGGCTGAAATGAAAGTACCAGGCGCGCAGAACTCACCCGCAAGTAGTTCAGTGTGGAGTTAGTGATTCCTTGCCGCGTGATGTTCTTGGCCAGTTGATCCAGGGCCGCGTGGTCGGGCGCCACTGTCCTCGCCACTAGTAAGTGACACGTGACAATTACCTTTCTCTACAGTGGCGCCAACTAGTGACTTCATAAAGGTAACAGGAGGGCGCTGGCTAGATCCAGGACGCTACCCGGTCAATATGGAGTGGCCTACGTTCAGCAATGGACGTCCTATGGCTGAAATTATGAACCATAAAAGTACTAGGCGCGCATAACTCACCCGCAAGTAGTTCAGTGTGGAGTTGGTGATCCCTTGCCGCGTGATGTTCTTGGCCAGCTGGTCCAACGCCGCGTGGTCGGGCGGGTGCACGGCCTGGCGCGGGATGAGCTCCCGGTGCGCGCGCACCGCCATGTGCCACGACTTGATCCTCATTAGATCGTCGAATGTGAACTCCAGGATTAACCGGCCTTCTGTGCATACCTGGAACGAGGTGAGAGAGAAATTAAGAATGTGGAACGTTTATTACGATGGACAAAAAGATACATAAAAAGACATAGACTGAGCAGTGCCACCTTGCTGCAACAGCGATGATCATTGCAATGGGTGTGACTCCATTTAGCATTTGCCCTAACGAAGACGTGATTTTCAGTTAATTGCTTAGGCCCGGTATGAGTGGTCTAGACACTCTCTGTTACAAAAGTTTTCGAACAAAATATATAGTTTTATGCCACTAGAACTTCCGAATCCGATCGGGAGCCGGATCCAACCGAGATTAGAGACAATTTGTGAGACAATCAATGAGCGCTTTATTGATTGCGCCCAACAGTTGGCGCCACTGGCGAATATGGTCTTGTCAAATGTGACCAAGACAGGGGCGACAACTGGTGAACGCTGAAGTAGTATAAATCGCATTTGCATTCACCAGGTTGACACCTGAGGAATATTTATATTACCAGCATTCAATTACTGAGCAGTACTGAGCACGAATAAATATCGTAAATAAAAACTCGTAGAACTAATTTATTTTTGCAAGCACGTCCCAGTATTAACCCTACCACTGCTTCGGGGCAATAAATGAGCCAGTGCTGAGAAGAAGCAGCGCAAGAAACTCAGTCACTTTCGTTCTCGTTATGGTATTGTAGCTCATAGACAGGTGAACCGATAGAAATGATATTATGTATTTCAGCCATTTCAAGGTCAACAGTTCATAGCTCTTAAACGGGTGAACTGATTACGATGACATAAAGCAACGATGTACAGTGCAAAGCACGACTGGTCATTGTGGAAATCTTTAGGGGATCCTCTGTCCAGCGGTGGACGTCATTTGGCTGAACAAACTAAGGAACGGAAGCAACGAACTTACTTTAGTGAACATGGGCTTCCCGTGATGGGTGACCATGGTACAGTGGTCGCAGTCCAGCGTGATGCTGGTGTTGTGGAAGGATTCCTTCGGCTGCCGCATCGTGTAGTACAGTTCCGAGACGCCGCCCTCGTATATACTGCGGAAGTAGCGCGGTATGAGCGTCCTTCCTATCGCTGGAAGATGAGAAAAGTTCCAATTAGTTACAACTTACAAGTAAAGGACGAAGCTTGGAGTTTCCCTGCGTGATCGAATCAGAAATGAGGAGATCCGCAGGAGAACCAAAGTGACCGACATAGCTCGCAGAATTGCTAAATCAAGTGGCAGTCGGCGGGGCACATAGCTCGTAGAGACGATGGCTGTTGGGGCAGAAAAGTTCTCGAGTGGCGACCACGGGCTGGAGGACGTAGCGTGGCGTAACTAGGTGGAGCGACGATCTGGTAAAGGTCGCAGGAAGAGCCTGGACCGCAGGACCGTGCATTATGGAAAACCTTGGAGGAGGCCTTTGTCCAGCAGTGGACGTCATTTGGCTGAAACAACAAAGGACGAAGACTGGCCAGTGTGGGGAGTTATTCAAATTCAAATAATATTTTATTCAGTACATAGGCCCTTTCCAGGGCACTTATACACGTCCCAAATATTAACTTATCAAAAAATAAGGGACACGTATTTTTGACTTATCCAAAATAATGAAAATTTAAAGAAATAAAGCGAAAAAGAAGAGACCCGTGACGTCAAGATGTGCTTAAAAGCGTAGCACTTTGTGACGTCGCGCGGAACTTCAACCACAGAATAAATAATAGTAGTATCTACCCTTCAACTCATCATAACTTCGTAATTAGATACTTGTTTGATTGACAAATAAAAAAATTCGAGTCAAATATTTTTTGATAATATAAATGACAGACTTAAAGGTTTTTTTTTTTGGAATCTAGCCTATTGGACAAGCTATTCAAAATAAATTATGTCAACTTACTGTATCTTTTAGGGCCATCTTCTAAACAAAATGTGAGCGTGAGTGTCGCGTCGTCTTCAAAAAACTCCGTCGCGAACGCGTCCCACCATAAATTATCTGAGTCCTGAAATCAATTAAAATGATTTTATTAATACAAATCATGGCCATTATCCATTTTTTATGATAAATTTGTGATCACTTCTTGTAGCGATAAGGGAGAGCTACCGTACACTAAAAACTCATAAAATAACTGATTTATTTAAACAAGTAGGCTTTTAAAAAGCACTTTTACACGTCCCAGTATTAACCCTATCACTGCTTCGGGACAATAAATGGGCCAGTGCTGAAAGAAGAAGCAGCGCAAGAAACTCTATCACTAGTTGGCGCTAGAGATGGGTTTCCACCCGGGTAAAAACCCACATGAGGGTAAAAACCCAATAAAAACCCGTTTCATTCCACCCGTGGGTGTTTACACCGGGTGAAAACAAATAATTTTATAATTATTTCAATTGGTATCTTTTCTTTTTTTTATTGAATTTTTCTCATTTAAGTTTATTGATTAATAAGTAATAAGTGTAATTTAACACTAATATGCATTTATATCGTGGCCAAATCGTAAAATTGATCACGTTATGATGATGTGACCAATTATTTTATAAAATGGTGTTATTTCAAGAATCGTTGAACCGATTTAAAAGAAATTTAGTAGGAACACAATAATTTGTGATCATGGCAAGGACATGGAGGGGGGGATGCCAAAGATGCCAAACACTCTCTTTGATGACATTACGGTATAAAGTTACAAATAACAACACCAACTACAAAGTACTTCTGCTTAAAAACTTGAAATCGACCGCCCTTCCGCCACTGTAACGCATTGTAACGTTTTTCAAGACCTCCTCTCCCCCCAGATTGCATTACGTAACACTAGAACGCCCCCTTAGCAACAAATACCATTTCTCACTTTAAAAAAACGCTATTTTTGTTTTCACCCGCCAGAATGGGTGATAATGGGTAAAAACCGGGTTTTTACCCAAATCACCCGGTTTAAACCCAATCGGGTGAAATGGGTTTTTACCCACTACCCATCTCTAGTTGGCGCCACTGTAAAGAACTGTCACTTGCTTGTAGCTAAGACAGTAGCGCCAACTGGTGAGCCTATCGCCTTCTCATCACTTACCTCTAACACGAAAGACTTTCGATTTCGAATCGTTTGTGTATTCGAATCGCCATCAAAAGATTTAATACGAAAACTAAAACAGCGCCCTTGTGAACGTGTCGTAAAGTCAACTTAGTAGCTATGAGATATTGTTTTAAACTTTCATGGTCACTAACAAAATTATTATTATTACTGTCGGGATTGCTACCATGTTACTTAATAATAATAGTTTAGTATGAGATAATGAGAAATAAATAGTTGCATGAAACTTATTTTGCAATCAGAATTGTCACGTTATCGTTTAATTCGAAGGTTGAGTATCGAATTTTGTTGAATACGCAAACGATTCGAAGACGAAAGTTGTTCATGCTAGAGGTACAGTAACTATTTAGTGACATACGGTAGCCGTCATCAATAACATGATTCACAAAGACACAGGGAATCAAGCAATCAATTAATCAAAGCATTTAATTGTAAAAACATAGGTGAAAATGTGGAATGAGTAGAGCTCTATGTTTGGCCTGTGAGTGGCGTACAAATTAGTAATAATATAAAGATAGAAGTAATCATGGTCAGTAATTAATTGAATTTGTCTACTACAGACTACAGGCTCCAGACTAAAAATGCGCCAGTGGCGCCTCTATCGGCTAAAAGTGACAAGTATTTAACGTAGCTCAGTAACGGTAAGACTCAGGGGCGTTCTTAACTACCGCCGTATCTGCCGTATCAATGATACGGGGCCCCGGAATACAGAGGGGCCCCAGTGCCAGACTTTCGAATAGACAGAGTACGCATCTAGGCAGATGCCTGAAGTTCTATAATTTTGTAATGATCTTTATTGGAAGAAAATGGTCCCATCATCAACATGACCTTTTTTTGATGGGGCCCCCAACAACTTTGAAAATCCATACATAAAAACACCGGTTATCGTTATAGTTACGGTTAAAGTTAGGTGTTGCAACTCAGCCTAAAGCCGAGTTGCACGACCTTATTTTTACCGTAACATTAACCGGTGCTTTTGGTGTGGAGTTTGACAGATTTTTGACGTTTGTCGTTAAAGTAAGATGGTGCAACTTCAGCCTAAGAGTAAGTTCCAAAATACTGAACTGTCCTATCCATGCCATGACATTGACAGTGGGGCGCCACCGTCAATACCGGATCGCTGCTTCCGATTTTTGCCATGTTGGAAACCATATAGTTGAACGATGGTAGCGCCCCCCTGTCATTGAGTTTGGTGGGACAGTTCAGCGTGGGTCATCTATAGAAGTATTATAACTGGTACAAACCTCTGTCCTCTGTTGTAACCGCTTATTGAGTTCATAAACTCTGTAGTCTGGCTGGCCGAAATATGGCGCGTGTCGTCTGGAAGAAAGGAAAGAAAATACGTGAATAAAATGCAAAATACTATTGAATCGAAATTAAAAACAAAAGAATAGAACATTTCATAGGCTTAGATAACACTGTTGTGCTAATAATTGTAAAAAAAATAGTAAACATTAATAAACATAATATTATAAAAGGTAGGTAATCGAACTTGGAACTTTTTGCATAGAAACGTACAATACTGCGTCATAAAGAAGCTATGAGGTAACTTAAGTAGTAAGTACCTAATCTACTATGATGTAGAATTACGAAACAGCTAAAATATAAAATGTAGTCATCATGTAATTCAAATTGATTGATGTTTGGACAGAACCATCCATCAATATTACGGTTTTGTACCTAAAAGTGTTAGATAATTTTTTGTACTCTATTAGAGCAAGCGTTAAATAAAGATAGAGACAATATTGAAAATAAAAATATTGCCTACAAAATTCGAAATTCATTTTTTCGAACACTTACGATAGAGTGGCGCCATCTATGAGCGATTTCAACAAGCACATGTTTTGCATAACTCGCAACAGATGGCGCTAGTGGCTTATAATAATGATGATGACACCCTACAAGCTTTCCAAAATTTTCTCGATTATAACTTGCAGGATACGTCACTATTATTTATGTCGATGTTAGTACTTTTAATTTGGATGTAATTAATTTTTGTGACTTAATGTATTTAAATATGGGTTAATGTGATTACAAAAATTTTAAATAATTTGTTTTGATTTAAAATACGTATGCGGTAACTTAATTTAAAGGGAATGAGGAAAAAAAAGAAGTCATTCTATTAGTCATAATCGATTTGTAAATTCATAGCGCTTGAAAGCAAAAATAAAATTTGGTAATTGTGAATACTTAGTTGTCAGAAATCAAGTTACTATCTTGACTTTCCTCAAATGTAATACAATTTGACGGTTGAATAATACAATTTAGTGTCGGTCTGGATCTAGTAAATTACATAATTTAAAATCAAGTCGTCTGGTTACGAAAGCTAGAAAAACAAAATAGAGAAAGCATCGCAATAAATGTAACCCTAATTTGATTCAGACATTTTATTGGCTTCTGTCTGACGCATCACAGGGAACACAGCTAACTGCATAGCATGATCACGATATTGTGATTAAATTAATTATTTTTGGTCGTTTCAATGTCGGTACGACTGTTGACCTTGTCTAATTTTTAACTGAGAGAATAATATAGTAAAATACGGTTGTTATCGTATTTCTGCATATTTCAGCAAGCTTAATGACGTAACATTATAATAACTATGAGAATTAATAAGTAATATTTTTGTCTTCATCGGTCGTGTACCTAGTTACTCGTGTCAGTTGTGATGTAATTTTAAATACTGCCTATAATCTTTGACAGTCTTGTCAGTTTTTGTTTACTATAAAAGCTGTTAAAAATTCGACGAACATAATTTGTTAATCTATTTCGTAAGTTCTTGATTAAATATAAACAAAACACAATCGTGGTTGTGAGGAAATACAAAGCGGAAATTCTCATTGATGCAAAATAAAGTCGACAAGTAATACTCAAACAGTTTATCCATTCCTTATCGTTTACCTACTTTGACATAATAGTTATGATAACTACGAATGTCTTTGATAATCAAAAGGAACACTTTGACATCATAGAATTATTATGAATTTGTAATGTCAGACTCAGGATGTTGATGGTCGATAAACTTGCATTTTCAAGAGTACGCAACTCATAAGTTCGATTCGCTAGATGAGATAGTGTTCCATTAAAATCTTTGTATAGAGGCAGCTAGCAATCTTTACTGGTGGTGGTTTGTATGTGGCTGATATACTACCGTTGTAGAACTCATTAGGTCATTATAGGACAATTATTTCTGATTCATTGATTGATTAAACCCTACAGTAAATTAAAACTTACTTAGAATATTTTTATTGAGACCTAAAATTTTTTTTCTTTATAATGACTGAGAACCAACTGTCTGAGTAGGTAGGTTTTGACCAGTATTTTGGCACTTTTGAGGCATCAGCTGGCATCTTTTTTTCTGCTGGCATCTAGCATTAGGCAGCTTCTGGTCATCTGCCGGTTTGTAACTAAGTCAAATCAAATCATTTATTTAGTATGTAACCCTAGGTTACAGTTTACAGGAAAATCTAGGGCGCTTGTACACGTCCCAAATATAGTTTGCCCTACCACCACTTCAGGACCACATATGGGCTGGTGCTTAAAAGTGGCGGAAGATACTACCTAAGCTACCCCTTGCCATCATCAGAACTGGTGCAAGAAACTTACACCCGTATTCACAAACGATACTTGCTTATGAGAAGCAGCAAATCAAACGCACAGCATTGAATGGAGCTCTGTGATTGGTTTGTGTGTCACCCTGTGCATCCACGCGCATTGTGAGACCTCATAGTAATGTTTGTGAATACAGGCGTAAGCTACACCTTGCCATCTCGTCAGCCGCTCTTTGGCTGCTCACACTAAGCTCTCATCAGTCGCTCTTTGGCTGCTCACACTAAGCTCTCATCAGCCGCTCTTTGGCTGCTCACACTAAGCTCTCATCAGCCGCTCTTTGGCTGCTCACACTAAGCTCTCATCAGTCGCTCTTTGGCTGCTCACACTAAGCTCCCATCAGTCGCTCTTTGGCTGCTCACACTAAGCTCCCATCAGTCGCTCTTTGGCTGCTCACTAAGCTCTCATCAGTCGCTCTTTGGCTGCTCACACTAAGCTCTCATCAGTCGCTCTTTGGCTGCTCACCTGCCAAAGTAAGGGTCCGGCGCGGGGTGGTACAGCGGCGGCGGCGGCGCATACTCGTGGTACACGTGCGGGTGGTGGGGGTGCGGGGGGTGGTGCGGCGAGAGATGGTGGCCGTACTCGCGGTACTCGCCCTCGCCGCCGAGCGAGCCCAGCGCCACTGGCATGTAGGCCACTTTGTCACCGAGCCATCACCATTGGTCAACACTACCACTGTTTTATGCGAGCCTGGTACTTTTATATTGCACTCGGTTGCTTTATTGCACTTTTTAGTTATCACACTTTTTAAATAAATATTATTTTTAAACAGTAATAAATAGTTTTTTTAATTCTAAATAGCTTCTCTATTCATAGGTACTTTGGACACTTTGGTTTCCGTACTTCAATAAGCTAACTGAAATCCCGATTTAGTTGAAACACAATCGAGGAAACAACCGCACTATTCAATGCCGTGACTGATAAAAAGCATTTCGAATTTTTCGCGCGAGATGTGTCATCTAACCGTGAAGGAACGTCCTAAATCCCTTATATACTTTGCGGTGATACGCGATTTTGACTGTTATAGCGTTACAATAGGGGCGATAAGCGTTTCGGATGGCAGTCTACTGGAGCGGTTTGGCAACGCCGCGTCAGCTGTCTAGTAACGACGCGCGCTCGGAAAGGTCAACATCGGTTACTATTTTTTTTATTCCACGGCTATTTTTGTACGCTTTGTTTGTTTTTTATTATTGATATTATATCGATTTTTAGACGCTTTCGGCATGCGTGTTGAATAGATGTCCATTTTAATATTTTTTCGTTCGAAAAAATCTATGTTCAGTATGGTAAAGCTTGCAGGTGGATTATTTTCACCTGTAAGGTAACTGTAAATGTGCTAAATCCAATAAGAAATTGGTGAATAATGAACGGTGAAATTGTGTCAGCCTCTCGTCTGGAAGTGATAGCTCATTATCATCACATATGCATAAATAAATTATTCAAAAATAATAAAAATGACTATTGTTTTCACTGTGGCAAGGCCTCGGAACGCACGCAACGTTGCCGCTCCTCGCGTTCGCGCCATACTTTTTACTGTTTCTTAGCACATAGAACGCTCATTACGCCGGCACGCACACATCAGCAGCGTCGCTTATATTGTTATGTCTATCTGTATATACGCTGTACATAGTGCAAGATGTACATTATGTACATTCCGCTAGCAACGTAGCCCGTAGATATGTAGGCTATGACGCTTGGCGTTGTGTACAAATCAAACAACTAAAAATAACTTGAAGACGTGTCCGTGAAAATTTTCTCCCGGCACTTTTTGACTTAGTTAGGATTTGGATTTCGAATTCGCGTGACGTGACGTGACGTGACGTCATAGTGACGTTCGCATGAAAGTTTAATCGAGGTCATACCGGAATCTATTAGGAGTCCATCAAAAAAATGTGGGTAGGTCTTAGAATGATAAAAAAAATCATTAGCTAAAAATTTCGTAAAAAAATTAGGCTTTCAATATTCACCAATTTATAACTGGACTGCATTTTAAAATTTGAATGATTTTACTACATTATTCATAGTTTTTGAGAACCAAGCGTAAGCCATAAATTGAATATTAAAACCAGTTATGCAAATAACCAGAAAACAGACGCAAAAAGTTGACACTGACACAGCGCCGCACAAAAACCACGTCGAACAACACAATAGGAGATCACACAATCATCAATAAGCGGAAATCTCGCTGCGACCCCAAGGAGACCGCCTTGGAACGCTATCACGCCCAGATACACTGATAACGGGCCAAACAAACGCGTACTACACACACTACGATCAATTAATTATCAGATAACGCACGGAAATTAGACAATGAACGGGTGCGCGCCGCAAAAAACCGAATTCAGCAAAGAAACAGCGGACGTGTGCCGCTCAGTCACTCGGCAAGGAATGTGTGTCACGCTGTCGTGTCAATGACTCCGCACTTAGCTAGCACGATGTACTATTACACGTAAACAGCGCGGCACGTGCGGGTGAGACAGCCCTGCGACGAGCCTGAAACCTGGACATGACGTCCGATGCACCGCGCGACCGCCGCGGAACAACCAATTGCGCGTAAAAATATCGCCTATCGTTAACGTTGCGAATCGATAGGAAAAAATGCACGCTTACGGCCCGCGCCTACTATCGCGATCGACCGAATTTTGAAACTGCAACGTAAATAGTTCGAAAAGAGAACGCTAGAGTTGCGGCGCGACGGCGTACTGCACCTA